AGAAGAAAATATAGAAAGGCGGATGTATTTAAAATGTTAGAGATATGATGTAAAAGACAAAAAAGAAAAAGAAGGAAATCTGAGTATTCAAAATAGTCAAACTTCTATATAACAAAAGAGATCATAAACAAACAAAAAAGGCAAGTGACATAAAATGTCAGTTCAAGGTTACAGTGAGCTATGATCTGACCACTCCACTCCATACTGGGTGACAGAGAAAGACCTCATCTCTTAAAAAAGAGAAAGAAAAGGAAGGAAAGGAAGGAAGGAAGGGGAAAAGGAGGGAGGGAGGAAGGAAGGAAGGAGGGAAGGGAGAAGGAGGAAGGGGAAGAGGAAGGAGAAGAGGAAGAGGAGGGAAGGGGAAAAGAAAGAAACGAAAAAGGAAAAGAAAAAAAAAGAAAAAACAAACCACAGAATGGGAGAAAATTTTTGTAAATCACACATCTGATAATGGACTTATATTTAGAGTATGTAAAGGACACTTACAATTCAATAATACAGACAAATAACCCAAATTATAAATGGGCAAAAGATCTGAATACACATTTCTTTAAAGAAGATATACAAATGGCCAGTGAGCATTTGAAAGATGCTCAGTGTCATTGGCCATTAGAGAAATGTAACTCAAAACCATAATGAGATACCACTTCATTCTTATAAGGATGGCTATAATCTAAAAGGAAGATAATAACAATTGTTGGTGAGACTGTGGAGAAATCGGAACTTTCATACATTGCTAAAGGGAATGTAAAATGATACAGCCATTTTAGAAAACAATCTGGCAATTCCTCAAAAGGTTACATACAGAGTTATCATGTGACTCAGCAATTCCAATCCTAGGATAATATCCAAGGGAAATAAAAATATATGTCCACACAAAAACTGGTACACAAATGTTCATAGTGTCATTATTCATAAAAGCCAAAAAGTGGAATCAACCCAAATGTCCATCAACTGATGAACATCCCCTTATAGTGAAATATTATTTAGCAATAAAAAGAAATTAAATACTGATACTTGCTACAATATAGATGAACCTTGAAAGCATTATGCTAAGTAAAAGAAACCAGTCACAAGGGGACATGTATCTTATGATTCCATTTACATAAACTGGAGGAGGTTTAAGGGGAAATAGGGAGTGACTACAAATGGGCATAGGGTTTCTTTTGGAAGTGATAAAAATGTTCTAAAATTAATTGTGGTGATGGTTGCACAACTCTGTGAATATACCAAAAACTATTGAATTGTACATTTTAAGTGGGTGAATTCTATGATATTTAAGTTATAGCTCAGTAAAGATGCTACTTTTAAAAAGAATTAACTATTGATACATATAACATGAATGATTCTCAAAAATAATTCTGCATAAAAGAGTACATTCTGCATAAGTCCATTTATGTAAAATGCTAGAAAATTAAAGTATGCTACAGTTACAGAAAGCAGATCAGTGATTGCCTGGTTGGGGAGAAGGAGGAATGGATTACCAAGGGGCATAAGAAAAACTTGGGGGATAATAGATAAGTTCATTATCTTGATCATGGTCATGGCTCCATGACTGCCTAGATATGTTAAAACTCATCAAATTATATGATTTAAAGAGTTACAATTATACATCAATTATCCTTCAATAAAGCTGCAACAAAAAACATACTAAAAGGCCATACATATATTAATAGATGATCACAAGACCTATTTCTATGTATAGCTATACATATGCAAATGCTCGGGATAGTATCTGGATACAAACACAGAAAACTAATAACACTGATTACTTTGGGGAAAGGGAGTGGTTTGGAGGGGGGTCCTGGAGGGTGTGAAAAGGGCGTGTCACTTTTACACTGCATACATCTGTGCTCTTTAAATTTTTTACAAGAATGTTCTATATGTCTTCCTTGTGTAAATAAATAAAATGCTAATAAAGTTACTTGTGATTTTAAAATAAAAATCGAATGACAATACTCAGGTCCAAAATAAAATGACGCTCTTTTTAAAAGAAGCCCGTAAGCCTGCAGAGGCATGGACTCAGAAAACAAGAAGGAACTTCCCTCAAGAAGTATGTTCTGAGCGGGGACGAGGGACCATGGGGAGGGCAGAGGACCTGGATGGATGAGCTTTGCGTTGACTGAGGGAGGCAGGAGTCAAGGGTGGACAGCTCAGCGTCAGAGTCAACCCCGGGCCGTGCTTGTGCCTCACTAAGTGAAGTGGCCATCCCCTCTCCAGGGCAGATCTGCAGTCTGTACGACAAGGATTGGTCAAGATGGCCAGTAAGGACTGTGATTCTGCTGCGACTCTTCTTCCCATCCACTCCCCTATGTCCCCCTTGTCCAGATTTTGTACTTTCGGAAGATCCCTAGGAGAGTAGAGCCAAGACCTCTAACTTTCCACCTGGAAGGCAATTCTGCCAATCATTGGTTCACTCATTCATTTATTTTTAAATTTATTCATCAAAACTTGCTTCTGCATTCATTTGATCGCCCATCCATCCATCCGTTGATTCATTCCATAAACAATCCTGCACCAGCACTGGTTGGGGCCTGACCCAGGAGGATGGATCCTGCCCCTGAGCCTCTTTCTCCAACTTTTCCACACCAATTACGATCTCTAAATAGACTCTGTGTAATTGGGTCTTTGGGACATCATCCCTGAAGCACCCCAAAGTGTCTAAACTGGGCACATTTCCTCTCTCCCTCTAAATCCCCTTGGGGATTGTGCGGTCCCTTGGCACACAGAGAGCTTTGAAAGGTGCCGCTGGCATTGGCCTGCCTGCTCCCCCGGAGGCTGTGGAGGTGTAGCTGGCTGCCCACAGGAAAACACCAGCCACTCTATTTCCTAATGCTACCAAACCTGTCACACTTCAGAGAACCCCACTGAGTTTGAAGCACTTTGTATAATTCTACCAAATTTTAAAAGATCCATTTAATTCTACTGAGTTGCAAGTACCTAATTGGATTTTACAAAAATCTAGGCAGGTTTTCACAGTTTGGAAAGCCGGGCCAGTGTGAAACCCTGTGTCCTGCCCACCAAGATCCCCTGCACAGAGGAGGCTCGTGCCGCTTTTGTACCCTGTGTCCCCTAGCTCCAGGCGGAGAAGGTCCCTGGTCTCAGATCCTCTGAAGTGTCCTCTAGGAAGCCAGGGACATGAATGGGAAGAGTCTGAAGGTAAGTGAGGAACGGGGATGCCGAGGCAGAGGAAGGGGTCAAGGGCTCTGAGAATTACTGTGGCCTTGGCTCCCCTCCAACTGACCATGCAATGCTGGGCAAGCCCCTTCCCCTCTCTGCACCTCAGTTTCCCCATGTATAACAAGAGGGTGATCTAGCTGATCTGTGAGACCCCTCCCAGTTCTGCCAGGGTGTCATCTAGGCTGAGACCAGCCCATGTGTGGCAGCCAGCTGCCCATTCCCAGTCTGCTTTAGCTGCAGGAAGTCACAGCGAGACAGGGAGAAGTTGGCTGTGCCAGGCTGGGAGACATCCTGCAGCACTCCCTCACTTGGCAGGGAGTGAGGGAGAGGGCACAAACTCGGGGCCAGGCAGCACAAAGGAGACAGCGCTCGGGGTGGCCTGGGAGAGGGAAAGGAAGGCTCCCTGGGCAAGGTGCCGTTCGAACTGGATTTTAGGTGGCATTTAGCCAGGAGAGAGGTAAAGGCAGAAAGGACACTGTGAACTCTGTAGACAAAGCTTCCTGGCCCTGCTCTGGGGACCAGAGTTCCAGAGCATCTGGTCACATCTGTCCTCCCTCCCTCTTCCCCCAGGTGCCAGTCCCCAGCTGAAGGAGAGAAGAAAGAGCCAGAGGACTCAAGTCCTTGGCAGGCGGGCTGGGAAGCAGACACCAGGCTGGTGTGTGACCCCTGCTCTCCCAGCTCACTCCAGTTGTCTCCCCCACTCAGACTGGTCCTTCCTAATGACGCCCCTGCAGCCCCTGCCTGGCCGTGGTCTCCATGCACCTCCTCCCAGGAATGAGACCATCTGCCTGGCCCCCTGAAGCCCCCTGAAGCCCCCTGGCCACGGGAAGGGCATGCACTACAGGTTCTGGGCGTGTGTGTAAGACAGAGCCACAGAGTGGTGCCTATGCACATGCACTCATGTGAATGACACACATGTACACACGTGAGCTTATGTGTGGCATATACACTCACAGGCACATGTGTACCTATATGTCACTGTCACAGAGGTGTCTGTGCATTCACATGTATGTGGGCATGTATGTGCTGACCATATGTGGGTGTATGCACATCCCAACAGGCACCCAATGGCTACTGATGTCTCCTGGTGACTTTAGAGGATAAACAGTAGTATACGGAACCGTTCAGAGGAGGCTGTCGCCTGACCCCGTCACTGGGCTGCAGGGAAGGCACAATGCTGTCTCCGCCTCGCCCCAGCCCTGGCACCATGCCTGTCTCTGTTGGCACTCTGTTAAATGGGGGTAGCCTTCTAGGAACCCAGCTGAGTTTTCCAGAGATTTCCAGCTGTGCCTTGGGGAAAACTGGCAGCTCACACTCCTTCTGACCCCATGGTGACTCTGGTCACAGTCAAGTTGAGGCAAGACCTTCTATCTGAAGCCCCAGGACTAGATCAGAGACCTCCTTGCTGCACAATTGCCCTTAAGTCCCAGAGGTAGGTCTCAGTGTGTAGGGCTGAGCTCTGGAGAGGAAAGAGTATCCACAGGGGCCATGCAGCCTGGAACTTGATGGGTGCTGGAGGCCCAATGACACCCAGAGAGTCCACATCAAGAAGGATTTAGTAACCCTTTGAGTGGCCTGACAGCAAAAAAAAAAAAAGAAGAAGAAGAAGAAGAAGAAAAGTGTGTACATGTTAAAGCTTATGGACCTCTGATCCAGGCCATTGTTTCCCAAACTATGTTGATGCCTGCAGTAGATTAATGGGTATTCTGTGAAAGGGGGATGCATGGTCAAATAAGTTTGGGGAGCACAGGCTCTACACTGCCTTTGGAAAGTTACAGTACATTAGCATATTAAAGGCTCTGAGAAGTACTGCAGTAAAGAGCTTTATTGATTCATCCAGTGTTGCCTCAAATTGATTTTTCAGATTGCCTGCTAACATTTCCATTAATGTTCTCTTAGGTAATGCTGATCTAAATCAATCCTCACTTTTCACATGGATAAACTGAGGCCTAGAGAGGGTCAGAGGATTGCCCAAAGTCATAGAGAGATGGTGTGGCAGCCATGGAAAAGACCCCAGCAATCCGCCCCTGTCCCAGAAGGGGCTCTGTGAGCTTCCCGCTGCCCTGCACCCTCTCTCCTTCCATCCCAGGTGCGCGTCCCTTCAGAACTCTTCAGCATGGAGCCGGTCAACAGGACGGGGGTGTCTGAGTTCTTTCTGAAAGGGTTCTCTGGCTACCCAGCCCTGGAGCACCTGCTCTTCCCTCTGTGCTCGGCCATGTACCTGGTGACCCTGCTGGGGAACACGGCCATCGTGGCGGTGAGCGTGCTGGACGCCCGCCTGCACACGCCCATGTACTTCTTCCTGGGCAACCTCTCCATCCTGGACATCTGCTACACCTCCACCTTCGTGCCCCTGATGCTGGTCCACCTCCTGTCATCCCGGAAGACCATCTCCTTCACTGGCTGTGCCGTCCAGATGTGCCTGAGCCTGGCCACGGGCTCCACGGAGTGCCTGCTGCTGGCCATCATGGCCTACGACCGCTACCTGGCCATCTGCCAGCCACTCAGGTACCCCGTGCTCATGAGCCGCTGGCTCTGTCTACTGCTGGCGGGCGCCGCCTGGGGCCTCTGCCTCCTCAAGTCGGTCACGGAGACAGTCATCGCCATGAGGCTGCCCTTCTGTGGCCACCGTGTGGTCAGTCACTTCACCTGCGAGATCCTGGCAGTGCTGAAGCTGGCATGTGGTGACACCTCGGTCAGCGAGGCCTTCCTGCTGGTGGGCGCCATCCTGCTGCTGCCCGTGCCGTTGACATTCATCTGCCTGTCCTACACGCTCATCCTGGCCACCATCCTGAGGGTGCCCTCGGCCACTGGGCGCCGCAAAGCTTTCTCCACCTGCTCGGCGCACCTGGCCGTGGTGCTGCTTTTCTACGGCACCGTCATCTTCATGTACATGAAGCCCAAGAGCAAGGAGGCCCACATCTCTGACGAGGTCTTCACCGTGCTCTACGCCGTGGTCACACCCATGCTGAACCCCGTCATCTACAGCCTGCGGAACAAGGAGGTGAAAGAGGCCGCCAGGAAGGTGTGGGGCAGGGGGCGGGCCTCCAGGTGAGGGAGGGCGGCAGTGTGCACGGGTGGCCTCGGGTTAGGTGAGGCCCACACATGCCAAGGCCCGTGAGGACGGGGCAGGCCGAGTGCTCCAGGTGTAGCGTCCTCCTCCCAGAAAAAGGCAGCACACCAGGTCCCCAGTCCTGCCACAGAACAGCTCCCAAATCGCCCTCTGCTCCTGCCCCGCATCGCCCTGGGCCAGCACCACCCCCTGGGCCTTCAGCCCTGCCTCCTGCTGTCTCAGGACTCCAGTCTTTGCCCTCCCTCCAACCTGTGCCCCACGGGACTTCCAAAGGGAGCTTTAAAAAGCACATGTGATCATGTCACTCTTCTATTGAAACCTGCAGCGGCCCCTCCCTGCTCTCTGGACAAAGTGGAAGTTCTTCAGAGCAGAACCTGAGGCCCACATGGCTGGCCCTGCCTGACTCGCTCCCCAACCCCTCCTCACAGCCGCACAGCTGCCAAGCGTAGCCTCAGCATTCCCCGCGCAGCCCGACAGTCCCCACGCTGCCGCTCTGTGTGATTCTTGGTTCTCCAGACAGCAGCGGCCCAGCACACAACTCCATGTGTAACAGGACTGCCTGACTCTGCAGGCCCAGTGCAAACATCACCTCCACCAGGGCCACCCATGTCGCTCCTCTCCCCATACCCTTCCTGTGTTCTTTGTTGTCAATGTTACTCCAAGAGCAAGGTTCCACTCTGTCCAAAGTCCAGCCCTGCCCAATCCCAGGCCCTGCACAGGTTTCCTAAAACACCTAGAGAGGGTCAGAGGATTGCCCAAAGTCACAGAGAGAGGGTGTGGCGGCCATGGATGAGCACATCGATGTAGGGGTGACAATGGCAAGGCCTGGAGTCCTTCCCAAATCTGAGCTGAGCTGGGATGGAGCCTACAGATGGCAGGAAAGGCCACTGGAAGGTGACAGCAATGAGGCCAAGAATCCAAGGTTCACAGACTTGCCTGGCCGTGGGACACCAGTCCCCCAGAGCAGCCCAGGACCTGGAGCCCCCTTATCCCCACCCTTACTAGCAGCAGCAGCAGCTTCCAGTGCCCCCTGCCTGGCATCCAGGCCTCATGTGGCTTTGGGAGGCTTGCTCTATCTACCCCTCCTCATCCCATCCTCTGGGATCCCCATAGCTGCCTCTTCAGGTGCTCAGCCTCTTCTCAGCTTTCCTTCCTCAAAACTCAGCAAGCACGAAGTGGAAATGAATTCAGATCCACAGAGCATTTCCATTCCCTGCCATGACCTGACCTCAGTGGCACCATCAGTGCAATGGGAGAGCTGGGCTTGGACTCCAGGCAGCAGTCTCACTCTCCTGCCCCGGCTGCAAGGAACAGCTGCCTTGTGAACCCTCAGTTCCCTCCCAGGCCTCCTCCTGCCTCCTCCGCTGGTGAGAACAGAGGCACAGAGGACAGCAGCAGGGCCCGAGGGCAGAGACACTCAAATCTCTCTGACCACGCCAGGCTGAAGGCTGTCAGCGGCCATGACATTCTGCAGGCCTTGGATACACAACAGGAGTTTGGACTTTATTCTGCAGGCCTTGGGAGTTTGTAATCAGATTTACTTTTAGTGAGGTCACTGATTAGATTCTGCGACAAAATATTAAGAAGAATTTTCTCCTCTGGGTGATGGGGTTACAGGTAACTACTATTATCTTAATTATTCTTTTCAATATTGTCCAATATTTCTACAATGTCCATGCCTTTGAACTTTAAAAATGTTATCCATTTTTAAGAAATGGAAGATCACCTTGCCCCAGAGTAGAGGACAGACGAGAAGGGCTCCAGCCTGAGGACAGGGAAGAGAGGGCGCTGCTGCAGTCACCCAGGCCCCGTGCGGCATGGCCAGGCAGGCGGTAGAAGACAGAGGGTGGCATCGAGCAAGGTACACTGGGGAGAGATATGCACATAGACATTTGGGAGACAGAGATATAATATTTGGGATGACAGTTGACCCTTGAACAACAAAGGTGTTAGGAGCACCAACCAACCCCTGTGCAGTCGAAAAATCCACGTATAACATTTGACTCCCCCAAAACTGAACTGCAAATGGCCAGCTGTTGACCAGAAGCCTCACCAAGAGCATAAACAATTAACATGTACATTGTATGTTATGTGTATTATATTCTGTATTCGTATGATAAAGTAATCTATAGAAAAGAAAATGTTATTAAGAAAATCATAAGGAAGAGAAGAATATATTTACTACTCATTAAGTGAAAGCAGATCATCCTAAAGGTCTTCATCCTTGTTGTCTTCACGTTGAGTGGGCAGAGGAGGAGGAGGAAGAGGAGGGCTTGGTCTTCCTGTCTCAGGGTGACAGCTCACCTGTGAGTTTTTTCCAATTGCCACAAATCTCCAAAAAATGTCCCCATATATTTATTGAAAAAAATATACATATAAGTGGGCCCGTGCAGTTCAAACCTGTGTTGCTCAAGGATCAACTTTATACATATCATACATGTAAAATAATATTGGGGAGATATAAAATTTGGGATTATAGAGGTGGATGAAGGAGAGCGAGGGCTGTGGGTTGATGCCTGGGTTTCTGGCTTGTCTGGGAGGATAAGATACAGGTGCCACCCACTGAGATGCTGAGATGGGAGAGATGACAGCAGCCATGGCGACAGGGGAGATGATGATTATGAGTTTGCCTTAGGCCTGTGGAGTTCGGGGTATCCGTGGGGTAGCAAAAGGGCAATGTTCTACGAGCAGATGGAAAATAGGTGGTAACAATCCTCCCATGTTTTACTTTGACCTGTGTTCTTGCTAAACATTCCAGAAAAAAAACGTAGTGTGATATGAAATTTTGCAGCTTCTGCTGCTTTATTTAAGACTGCTTTTTAGTCTCAAAACTGTGTCAAGTTGTTATTTTTTTATTGTGAAAGGACGGGAAGGAGAGGGAGAGGAGAGGAAAGGAAGGGAGTGAAGGAGAGAAGACAAGAAAAAATAAACCTGTGAAATCTCACTTGCCTGGCGACATCCCTGACTTAATGAAGTCCCTCACGTGTACACCTCACATCTCACACCTTACAAAGCAATGTACTTTCTCTAAGCTTTGATGAATCCAGGTCTTCACAGCATGCCTGGAAGGAGACGGCCCATTTCGCAGCCCAGACACCCAGGCCCGGAGCCCGTGGCATCCAAAGGGCAGGACTCCAGTGAGACCCAGTCTCCAGGTTCTCTGTCCAGCATTCTCCTGTGTCCGCCTCACCCCAGCAGGGCTCCCCTGGGGCAGGGCAAGGAACCTGGAGCCTCTAAAGCCCAGGTCCCACAGCTGCCAAACCTGCAACTTTGTGTGCTTGCAGAGTTTGAACTTTAAATTGGGCAGGGACTGCAAGGTCCCTGAGAGCAGGGTGCAAGCAGGCTGTCTACGCAGCAGGGGAGCAGGAGGCTGGTCCTCGGGACCCATGGGCCCTGGCCCAGCCCGGCACGTGCACCTACTGGTAATGAACTCAGCACCTCTAAGCCTCAGCTCAGCCCACCTAGCCCCAGCTTCCTACATACACTTAGGCCTCGGGCCAGGACGTGAGAGGTAAGGAGAATTCATCTGCCATGTTGATTATTCTCATGAGATCTTTTAAAAACATTCTTAAAATAGAATATTTTCTTGGGAAAGGGGACATCATATCATCTACCACTTACTATTTACCCATGTGCCAGCTCCGTGCCGAGAACTTTGCATGCTTCATCTCGCTGGATCCTCAAACTAAGCCCAGAAGGAAACACGATTACCCACATCATAGGTAAAAAGCTGAGGCTGAGAAAACTGAGCAAGCAGCAGGGCTGGGACTTGGACTCTGGTCAGTCTGACTCCAAGCCCTCCCTCGGCCCCTCCACCACACAGCCAGGAAGCGGTGAGGCAGGACCCAGGTCGAGGTATCTCTGGGAAGTTGTAACTGAAGCTTTCTTCTTGTTATGCCCCTTTCCTTTCTTTTAAAATAACTTATTTAAATACTTTAAAATAAGTATTAAATTGTTAAGATTGGATTTATCAGCCAATGAGATTGATATATTTACCCTGCAAAGTAACCCTAGGCCTTTCAGACCTCAGGTTGGAAGCTGCTAGAAAGATGTGAGGAAATGTGCCAGAGGTTACAGAGTACCAGAGGTCACCTAATTGAATGGCTCCATTTTCTCAGGAGAAACTTGACCAAGGTCATATAGCAGAGTAGGAACAATGGCGGAGAATCAAAGCTGGGTCCCCTCCCTCCAGGAGGGTCCCCAGGGCTCCTTCCCAGCATCACTCCGCCTCCCAGGAGGTGTACAAGTGGGGAATGGAACTAGATGATTATTTTCAGAGACACTCATGTCCTGTCACTCTGTGACTCTGGTTTTCTAGAACATGACAGTGTGTGATGTTGACAGACAGATGCTAAAGCAGCTTTTTCAGTGTACTGGGAAATGCCACCGTGCCCAAATGCAGAGGTGCAACATTTCTAGTTCTCTTCCTTCTCAGCACGTGGTAGTGACAGTGGGCTGTGGGCAAACGTGACATATGTCACTTCTGGGTCAGAGTATTTAACTTCTGGTGCAAGATGCTCCAGTGTGTCCTTCCCTAGCATAATAACTGGTGATGTCCCAGATGGTAGAGCCTCCATCTGCCAGGGTCTCTGAGGAGAGCCCCCTGAAAACCCCCAATAGACATGTAGTATGAGGAAGAAATAAACCTTCATCATGTTGAGCTGCTAACATTGCAAGGTTGTGTGTTACTGCAGCATAACCTAGCCCATCCTGAGTGACTCACCGAGGGAACAGCAGCTGCTCCATGATGTCCCATCCTGTGCCCATGCTGCAGTCAAAGCTCTTGCCAACCGGGCAGCATGGTATTATCTAGACACAGACTTATTTCTTTGGGGCCATAAGCCTGTGGTTTCATGGGCTAGCTTTAATTTCCATGAATGTGTTATGAGCAGACTCTTAAGTTGTGAGGAAACCCACCCCACTCCTAATGTTGCTCTTCAGAGAGAGCAGCTGTTACTACAGGTAGGAAACTGGAACCCCCAAAGCTCTCCGAGGAATCACAATGGCTGCACCATCCTGTCAGGGTGTGTGTATTGGAGACAGAAGGGGACATCGATCTCAAGGTAAGACATTGGTATCTGGATTTTTGGCAGAAGAACAGCACCAGATCAGTTCAATTCATGGTAATCACTGACAGTTCCTGGCTGTGGCTCCCCGGCCCATAATGAATCAGACACAGCCCTTCCACTGCAATAGCTCACAGCACAGAGAGAGACGCACAACAAACTAACACAATGAAAAGCAGAATGAAAGGAACCTGCCCCAAAGCTGCATGCCCCTCCTCTTGCCAGGGAGGTCAGTTCTGTGGAAGCATCTGAGAAGGCTGCACAGAGAAGGTGGTGTGTGAGCTGAGCCTTGAAGGGTGAGGAGGACAGAAAGGCCACTCCAGCCTGAGGAAACTGACCAGGAGAGGGATGACCCTGGAGCATGTGGGCTTTGTCTGAACAGTGTGGAGTGGCCTGGGGAGGCTGAGCGGGGAGCAGTGTGAGTCAGGAGGGCAGCCAGAGCCTGAGCACAGACACCCACAAATGCCTCCACCGCCCACTTGCTGTTTGGGAGAGAGGCAGGGGTGCTGGAGAGAAATGCAGACCCAGTGGTTTCCCAGCCTTCACCTGCTTGAAAACACCCCCACGCCTGTGTCCAGTGCCAGACTTTGAGATGAACATAGGTCTTTTTGTAACAACACACCCAGCAAAGACAAAGGCCTTATAGATCTTTCTAGATTTCAGGTTTGACTTGGTCTTTACATCCCACATTCAGATAGAATCTCAGAGGTCTACAACCCAGAGAGAGAAAGGGAGGTGTCCAAGGTAAGGAGAGAGTGAGTAGATATCGTACACCCCAGGAGGGCGGAAGCCACATGTCTCTGCTATGTTCCCAGCACCTAGTTCATAGTAGGCGCTCAATAACTATTTGTTGAATGAATAAATGAATGAGCCATCACACCTGGGCAATTCTTTATTTTTTTGCCAAACTTAAGCAGGAGAAACTCTACCTGTAAATGTTCACGTGGTGATTTAAAGTCGGGAACTAACCTGGATTAACCAACTGCCCCTGCATGTTCCAGACACTGTCCCCTCATAATTACCTTGATTCAGGGTAGAGGAAGGAAACCCGGCATAGGCTCTGGAGAAAGAGCGTGTCACAATAGACACTGGAGCCCTTGTCCAGGAGGTGGCTGGCTCAGATCCAGCAGGTACCTGTGGCTGAAGATGCAGTCTTCTATCTAGCTCGGTAGCAATCTGTTACTGCACCACCTAAGCAGCACTGCATGTGTGTGTCTCCTCTGAGCTACCCAGCATTCCCGATCTTCAAGGAGGAAACCGAGGCTCAGAGAGGCCAAGTGACTTGGTCAGTACCACAGGCTAGTTCGTGCTGAAGCCAGGAGGCAAAGTCGGGGTCTGGGGTCACGCATCTGATCTCTGTTGAGCGTCTGCCCTTGGCAGCACTCGCTGTGTGAGGGGCTGGGAGGAAGGAGGCAGAGTGCTGACCTCAAGGTGTAGCAGAGAAGACAGGTACACCACATGCCACACCGCGACATGGAGAGACCGTCAAGGGCTGTGGGAGCACAAGAAGGGAGCAGGAAGCTCTGCAAGGGGGAAGAGGGAGAAGAAAGGAGACGCAGCACGGGCCCTGAAGAGTGAACAGGAACACCCCACCGGGAAAGGGAGGAGGACGTGCCTCCATCTTAGGCGAAGATGGAGAGCTGGAGAAAGACATGGTTTATTTAGAAGAGGGTGAGAACTGTGGCCCCTACAAATGGTGGATATGATTAATCAGAAAGAATGAGGAAAAAAAATCCAGCCCAGAAGGACAGGCAGGGCTCCATCACTATCACAGAAAATTGGCCTCGCAGTCAATCTAGGAAGTGGGCAGGGATGGGTGGAATTATATATTCTGAATGAGAAAAGCTCACGCTCAGCTCCTATTTCTCCCTCAGACCAGGGTCCACCTGGCCATGAGACAGCTTTCCAGTCCTAACAAGACTATTGTTCTTTGGGGACACTTGGGTTCCCTCCTGTGAACACCTAACATTGGCCTTTCCCTCAGAAGCAGTGAGACCAGCTCAGCAGGGCGATGGTGGCTGCCTAGGAGACACTTAAAGCCTCTTCCCATTCTTCCCTTTACAATTGATGACTGACCACGTCCCTGCCAGATTAGCGCCAGGCTTCCCTCCTTGTGTGGCATCATTGCCAATATCATTTATCCTAGAAAGCAATATGGAGGCCAAGAAGTGAGTCACTTGGCTTTCATGACCAGGGTTAAATCCTGTGACCAGTAACTCTATTAGGACATGTATGTTTTGATGTCCTTTTTAAAAATCAATGAATAGTTTGTGATTCCTTAAGGAGAGATGACCAGAAGTCAGGCTAACATACCCTGTGGAGCTGAAATGCTCGACCTGCATGACCCAAAGGAACACTAGGTGAGCAGTATCCACCACGCACCCGCCTTCCAGAGCTCATCTCACCTAACTCAGGGAACGGGCCAGCACCTTTGGCAAGTCCACTCACCTTTCCTACTTCTGTAACCCCAGCACCTGAAATGATATCTAGTACAGAGTGAGCACTCAATAAATGTTCAGTGAATAAATGAACCTGAAATACTATGGGCATAATAATTCAGTCATATGAAGTCATAACTTAGAAAAGATGCTTCCTCTTGACAGCCAAGAACATTTTAGAGTCCAAAGGAGCAAATCAAACATGAATCCTACTCCGTTGTCTCCCCTGCGCCCTGGGGTGAGCAGAGGTGGGTCTAGGGGACTGGGATGTGCCCCATCCTCCCCTAGGTTTTTGCGAGCAGAACTGCAGAGCGGGGAGGGCCAGCTTGCAGACCTGACATCCTACTCTGTCCTTATACAGATGATGAAACCAGATTCCAGAAAGGGAGGCTGACCTGCTGCAGGTCACACATGCAGGTCACCTGGCTTCCAGGCCAGCTAGAGACTTTTCCAAAAAGCTGAGTGGTCCAGATGGAAAGGGAGATAGGATGAGATGAGTGGAACTAACCAGACAGCTGTGACAGAATACGTCCTGCTGGGGCTACACGGGCACCGTAAGCTAGAGGCGGTCCTGTTTGTGCTGTGCCTGGGCATCTACTTGGTGAACGTGCTGGGCAACTCCCTTCTCATAGGGCTGAACATACTGGCCCCCCGCCTGCACAGCCCCATGTACTTCTTTCTCAGCAACCTCTCCCTCATGGACATCTGTGGCACCTCCTCCTTCGTTCCTCTCATGCTAGTCAACTTCCTGAAAGCCCGAAGGACCATCTCCTTCCCCGGCTGTGCCCTGCAGATGTACCTGACCCTAGCGCTAGGCTCCACAGAGTGCCTGCTCCTGGCTGTGATGGCGTATGACCGTTACGTAGCTATCTGCCAGCCACTTAGGTACCCAGAGCTCATGAGTGGGCAGACATGCATGCAGATGGCAGTGCTGAGCTGGGAGACAGGCTTTGCCAACTCACTGCTGCAGTCCGTCCTTGCCTGGCGCCTCCCCTTCTGCAGCCACAGTGTCATCGACCACTTCTTCTGTGAGATCCTGGCAGTGCTAAAACTGGCCTGTGGGGACATCTCCCTCAATGCACTGACAATAATGGTGGCCACAGTTGTCCTGACGCTGGCCCCACTCCTGCTCATCTGCCTATCCTACATTTTCATCCTGGCTGCCATCCTCAGGGTACCCTCTGCCGCAGGCCAGCGCAAAGCCTTCTCCACCTGCTCGGCCCACCTCACGGTGGTGGTGATTTTCTATGGGACCATCTCCTTCATGTACTTCAAGCCCAAGGCCAAGGACCCCAGGTTGGATAAGATTATCGCATTGTTCTATGGGGTTGTGACACCCTCACTGAACCCCATCATCTACAGCCTAAGGAACGCAGAGGTAAAAGCTGCTGCCCTAGCTCTGCTGGGGGGCCGCCTGCTCTGCAGGAAAGCGCCCCACTGTCACTGCTGCTCTCCGTCTCTGTTAGTCAGCACGGGCTAGGTTACGCGGTGTCGTGACCTCAGATCTTCAGTGGCTTAAAGCCATCAAGGTTTGTTTCTCGCTCATGCTGCAGGGCCACACAAGGCTGGTTAGGGTTCTGCTCTGATCTGGGCTCTTCATCCCTCTGGAACTCAGGAGGACAAAGCAGCTACCATCTGGAACACTGCTGGTCACCATGACAGAAGGAAAAGGAGAGTAACAAAGCCTGCATGACTCTTAAATCTTCCACTCAGAGGTGCCACGTGTTACTTCCACTTACATGTCATGGGCTGACACAATGGCAACAGCAAGGCACATGACCACCTCTGACATCAAAGGGGAGGACAAGCACAGCTACTGTGTGTCTCGAATGAGGGAGAGAGAGGACGAAGAGCTCGGTGAACAGCCTAATGACCACCACACCATCCTCCAGAGTTGACCCAAGAGCTACTAGAGATTTCGCTTCCTTTTCCCCGACCGTACATCCTTCGTGGACCATCCTACACCCTTCATGTGGGCTGCTGCCAGGTTCATTGTCCCAAGCAAGCTTGGGTTAGCTCACCTGTGGTGGCTTTGTAGTACTGGGTCAACCAAACTAGGTTGAAGTGTGTGCTTCCCAGAATTCTCTTCCCAGTATGGGTCTGTGTTAGGGCTGACCAGAGAGATGCGTGCATGAGATGTGGAAGGCAAGAGTGAAACAGCACCACACACTGCGGGAGTGCTTGCATGCTGCTGCTAAGTTGCTGGCTCACCTTCCAAGTGCAGCCCGTCCAGTCCTCACCAGATCACCTCCTTCAACTGTCTGAGTCCTGGGTCAAGTGCAGCTTCATGACAAAAGGTGCCAGCTTCTCCTGCAGGTCGCCGGTTTTACTGAGATTGAAGGCGGGAGACCCAGACCAGGTTCTAGTCTGTCCTCCTGGGCTCTAGTTTGCCCTTACTCCCCTGCCTGCACATCCAGCCTTCCTTCCGGACTGCCAGCCCCGCTGACCTGCGGCAGCTCAGGCCCAAGCCCAAGTGCAGAGGTAGCAGCTTTGCACAGACTTCTCCAACTGCTACCATGACAGCATAGGCCTAATGTCAATAATAAACTCCTTAAATCACTCACAGTGGTTCTGCTACTTTGGTCAAACCCCATTGATTCATCACTCACTTGATCAAGAACCTTTGATGGCCCCCATTACCAAAGCATTAAGTTCACATTCTTCAGCTGAGTCGTCAAGGCCCTCCGGAGAATCTGGCCCCACCTGCTTCTTCAGCCTGAATTTCCTCTACGCCCTTCACACCGGCCATCCCCTATGTCATCCACACCTCCCCCACCTCCATGTCTTTGCTGGTGTTGTTCTCAGATGACACCTGCGACCAGTTTTCAACCTACCCCTGACACCGTCTCTCTCACTCAACCTTTCCTGTCGCACTTCAAGATTGTTCTCTTTATATCCTACAGCACTTTGTCAGGGCCTTTGACCCGATACCTATCCCATCCCGACTGGCATTCATGACATTTCACCACCACGTGAGCTCCTCAGGGCAGGACTCAGGCAGGTCTGACTCATGCCCGCAGCGCCCACAGAACTTTCGCTGTAGAAGGTTTGCTGAATGGAACTGTCACTTGGAAGCCCTCACATCATCACCATCTGGGGATTGAACCTTGTGCTGCTGAACACGCTCCAGGCAATTATAGGTGGTCAGGGGTCTTAGTTTAGTTGTGCATACAGACATGTGCAAGAGAGCAGCAATATCCACTGGCCAAAGCACCGTATTCAAGGCAGGCAGGGGTTGTTTGGATCCTGGGCTCTCACCCACGGAGTCAAGTCGGGAGACCAAGGATCCCTATTTTGGGAGCCAGGAGACCAGGGTTCCAGGCCTGGTTCAGCAGCTACGCCCACTTCCTGCACCCCCAGGAATCCCACAGGCACCTCAAACTGTCCAAAACTAAACTCATCATCCCCCCACCCAAAGTGGTGTCACCATCTCAAGGAATGGCACCATCACCCCCAAATCAGAAACATGGTGGTCATCCTAGACTTTCTATCGTACCTCATCACCCCATGGATCCAATCAGTGGCTAAGTCCTATAAAGTTCATCTCCTAATAGCTCTTAAATTGGTTCCCTCCTCTCCACTGATATCTTGTTAATTAAGAAGCCATCACTATCCCCTTTCAAATATTACAACTGCTGTGTCACTGCACATTCGCCCTCCAAACTCTCCCCCAAATCTATATTCTCCCCAGCCATCAAAACACCAATCTGATCATGCTACTCTCCTGCTTAAATCTCCCCAGTGGCTCCTCATTACTGGCAGAATAAAGGCTAGACTGTCCCCATCTGTCCAAGCACAGTTGGCTATTTGCCTCCACCGCCCCACTCCACACACACACACACACACACACACACACACACACACACACCCCGGACACAAAAGTTCCCTGAGTAAATATCAGTCTTTCCTTTCACTGCATCTGCCCCTTGCTGTTCCCTCCCCATGTCCAAACGCTTGGTGACCTTTAGTGACATATATTGGACACACATCACATACCAAGCTAGGCACTGTACTGAGTGTTCTGCTTTGCTGACTGGGGACAAGATGGAATGATGGAAATCTCAGGAGAGGGGTGCAATATGGGTGGATGCTGGTGACCACAGAGAACAGTCCCAACATCTTGGCATTATGGCAACTTATTTAATCCTCATTCAAATGCCACCCCCCTTATAGGAAACCCCTTCTGACCCCTCCTCGCTGGGTGTGTCTCAGCTCTGTCTTCCCTCTTCAGTGCCTTCTGTACTGTGCTGACCCTGTCCTGAGTCCCAGCTATTCATGTTCAAGCATCCTAGTGACCTGGCTCTATACATCTTAATGCGATGGAATAGTATTTCTGGGATGGGAACATACACCCAGCCCATACCCCCTCGCTCCTTCTCACCATTCAGCTGGCCACACCATTCTCTGCCCAGTGGCCCACGGAGGAGATGTGATGGCAGAAAAAAGAGAACAAAAGGATATTTTCTTGGCTTTTGCACTTCAAAAGCCTAGGCCCTGAGGGGAAGAGAAAAGACTTAAGGCATAGATAAAAGATTTGGAGGAAACATGGAAAGTGAAACTAAGGCTTCTTCACATCCATATTAACAAAAAGGGGAGGAAGAGAGAGGAGGAGGGAAGTAGTGAGAGTACTGGCACAGAAAGTACCCAAAGGGAGGGGCCCTGGATAGCTTTGCAGGATTTAACAGATGGAGCAACTCATGTCTTGTTTGTCAAGTAAAACCCAGAACAGAACCCCAGAGCAGAAATGGCTTCCGGGTGTATCTGGGTAGCTGAGGCCTCGGATAACCTCAAGGGTCTTCTCATGTGGCACAGATATGGTGGAGAGGACCTCAGGGCTGAAAGGTTGTACAGAGGAGAACAAGAAACATCCTCGTACCCCAGATGACCTGGTGGGGCCTCTGACTGGGGACCAGGTGGAATGATGGAAATTTCAGGGGACAAATGAAGTATGGACACTGGTGACCACAGAGAACACTCCCTTAACATCTTGGCATCATGTAAGACCTCAGAACTCAGCTATGACCCTTGTGGAAAGAGAAGAAACCCTGAATTGACCAGTGATCTTCTCTGGCACTCAGGAAAAACAGGGGCTCAAAATAGAAGTTATATTCTTGTGTTATTTCTTGTACATCTGAGACGTGCACCTGCTACTCCAATTTCCTGGGATCTCGGCTTCCTTCTGTGTTGGGTGTGGGCATCACAAGGGAGGTTTGTCTCACTGATGTAAACCATTTCAGCACGTGCACACACATGCACACACCTCCACTATTGCACACTGACATCAACAGGAATTGAGGAACAGGCATTAGGAAGTGTTTGGAAATGAACGCAGGTGCCATGAGAGGGAGGCAAGTGCACACATGGTGGGCAGCTCCCAGCGGCTCATTCTGGCTGGGCTCCCATCACCCCTGCTGATTTCCTCAGACTCCCTCTCCCCTGCCACTTCCCCACACCCTTGACCCCAGGAAAGAAGGCAGCACACAACCAGCACAACTTCATTGGAGGCACACAGATTCCACCTGCATCAGCTCAGAACACCAGCCACCCCGGCCAGCCCCAGCTCCATCCGTCCCTATAATCCCTCCTCCCCAGCACAGCACAGCCCAGAGGCCACCCCTGGGAAGGAAGCCTGAGGCCAGAGTTGCTGAGCCTCTGGGAAAATCTGGAGACTCAGTTTCCCCAAGATGGACTCCATTTCTTCTGGAAGGATGCCATGTTCCTGACAGGGTTTTGTCTCCCTGAGAAGGAATCCACATCGTTAGGAGGGTTCCATATTCCTGGGAGGGACAACTTGGTCCTGAGGGGGCTCTGTGCCCTGCATAGGCTCCAGTCCTTACAAAGGACTCCATGGATGCAGGAGGACTCCAAGCCCTCAGGAAGTTCTCCATGTACTGGGAAGGGCTCCAGGTCCCTGGAAGAGTTCTATGTCCTTGAGAAAGACTCCATGTCCTCAAGAAATACAGCTTGTCTCTTGTTCCTGGGAGGGCTCCATGTCCCCAGGAAGAACCCTAGCAAGGGTTCACATCCCCCCAGGGCCAGGCCCAAAGCCCCTCTCAGCTGGCACAGATGCTGCTGACAGTGGCCCCTCCTGGGCCCACGAGGCCCAGCTCCTCCTGCTCATTGATGCATAGCTGGTAACCACAGCCCCGGGCCCGGGCTCCAGACGGCACCCGGCGGTCAGTCTTGGCACGAGGGGGCAGCAAGAAGCCCACGCTGCCAGCGATGAGCATATGCCAAATGCTATGAATGTAGAAGTAGTTGTCCCTGGTCTCCACAAAAGCATAGAGTAGGACGGCACTGCCTGCAATGAGACTGCCCGGGCACAGGTAGAAAAGCCAGCGGCGCCACGTGGGTGGGTAGCAGTGTCGGCGGCGGACGCTGCGTACTGTCTGGGGGAGGCAGAGAAGTGGGGCTCAGGAACACAAGGCCCTGGAACTCAAACCAGAGCTGGTCACCCTGGGGCTTCCTCTGAGCCCTGGTTGTGACCTAAAGGCACCTGCCAAGACTGGAGTGGGCACTGTGAGCAGCAGGTGATGATGACAGAGTCCAAGCCCACCTTAAATTGGGGACCAGATATCCAGGGCCCTAAACCCAAGTCCTATTGAGATACCCCCAACAGCCCTCCCCACCCTTACCCAGGCTGTGGCCAAGATGCCCAGGGCGAAGAGACTGGGTCCAAGCAGGTTCCAGAGTCCATGCCGGTCAAGCTGCAGTGCCATGGACAGCAACATAGCCCCCAGCAAATACAGCACCTAGAGAAAGAGAACTCCAGGGCTGGACTATAGCCAGGCAACAGTACTTCCGGGGCTGGGCCAGGATGGCAAGAGGCACTCAGAAATGCCCCTGGGGAGAGGTCAGGAGTGGATTTCAACAGACTTGGCTATGGTTGTCCCCCCGGGCCCACTCTGGACTGACCTGCTTGACCACGGGCTGCAAACGAGCCATGGCAATGACAGTGACCCACACGGACATTAAGGAGCCCAGGAAATCACAGAACTGCAGCACGTCGTAGTCCATGATGCAGAAAACCACAATGCCTGGCTGGTCACAAGCATGATAGAACTGGAGGAAGAAATGACGGAAATTGAGAGAACTTGAGGCAGAGGTCCAGGTCTACAAAACTGGAGGAGGAGGTCACAGGGGTGGTGTGCTGCTGTCAGAGAAGCAGAGGTCAGAGGTCACAGGCAAGAAGAACTGGGAAATGCCTGACTCCTCTACTCCTGAGAAGAATGAGGTAGGGAGGCCTGGTCTGCTTCATCAGCTGTATGTATCTCGCAGCTCTGACCTTGGTCCTCCCTTTCCTCACCTTCCTAACCTTTCTGGAACATGCTGTGGAGCATGCCAGGCCAAGGGTCCAGATAACTTAAGCTGAGGCCAATTCTATCTCCTCACCACCGGCCCAACCTATAATCCCCAGCCCTAGCCCAAACTCTGGGCCAGCCCACACCCAAAAGCTCCTCTCCATGTCCCAGCTTCCCCTGATAGCTCAGACTCTGAACAGGGCTTCAGGACTTATACTAACTGGCCCTCTTCATCACCCCCACCCAATGTGGGCATGGGGCTGCACAGTAAGAAAAAAGGCAGTCCCTAAGGCCATGGAGAAAAGCATGGTACTCACACCATGGGGAAGAGTATAGAGAGGGGACCGTGTCCACCTATGCCACCCCTGTGGAGAACACAGCAGAGTAGACTATTGAGGAGATTCAAAGGGGAGACAGGGGACACAAGTGGAACTGGATCAAGCTATACTGGGCATCCAAATTCAGGAACCAAGGTCTGCC